CCCAGCTTCTGACACAGAATTGGCTGCTCTAAGATTGAACCCATTTAGGAGTCATTGGTGGGCCTGCTGGCAAAATAGTGGAGGCCTGGCTGAGTTTGGTTTCTGTTTAAATGGCTGTGCCTCAAAACCCTCAGATCTCACCTGCAGGAAGTGGGCTTGTGGTTTGAACCCTTCAGATAATCCACTTCTCACTTCTGGGTGATCCTGCTCATTGAAGGAAAAAGAGGCGCCTAACAGTACAGCCCTATACCTTTTTGCTTAGAAGCAAGCTTTACTGAGTCCTGTAGGACCCAACCCGAAAGTGTTTATACACTAGCCTTCTTGGACCTCTTGCCTTCCTGGTTAGTGGGTTGCACATTGTCCAGTCACAAAGTGTCAAATCTCATCAAAAGGGAAGGGGACTGCGTAAGAAAAACAAAAGTATCATGGTCCCTTAAAGACTAACACATTTATTTCCGGGTGAGCTTTTCTGAATTGCAGCCCATCTCCACAGACACATGCATTATATGTACTGTAACCTGCAAAAGCTTGCATTGACATAAACTTATTTGTCTTTAAAAGTGTCGGAATACCTTTTTCATGTTTCCATTTTGGCTTTGTTTTTTCTTACCCATGCTTAAACAGATTAACACAGCCATGTTTTTGAAAGCTGCTACAATTGAAAGGGAGATGGACAAAGCTTGAGGTACTTTGACCCAAATCCTGCATGCAGACCTGAGCCCTGAAATAGAAAGTTAGCTCTTTAACTGAACCCAGAGTTCCTTATCTCATTCAATATTATTTTGATGGATGGATGGATGGATGGATGGATTGGATTGGATTGGATTGGATTGGATTGGATTGGATTGGATTGGATTGGATTGGATTGGATTGGATTGGATTGGATTGGATTGGATTGGATTGGATTGGATTTGTATCCTGCCTATCTGGTCTATGCGACCACTCTGAGCGGCTTCCAATATAATACAAACAATTAATAAAAACACATAGTTACATAAATCTACAAACGAAAATGTGGAAACCAAGAAAATAGAGAACTTCAGACACACTGACTGTCTTCTCTCACATGCCCAGTGCACTGTGCACCCATTCCTTTTCTTTAGAATCACACATGTTCCCATTTATGTATTACGAATGTGCCCAACAGATTGAGACATGCTGGGCTCTTCCTTAGCCCCATACCCTGACTGGGTCTCGATGTAAGCATATTTCCTTCTTTTTTTAAATTTTTGAACGAGGGGTGACAAAAAGGAAAAATGGAATTGAGGTTCAGAGGGAAGAGGAGAAACAATATCATACCAATATCCATTCTATACATATTGCCATATCAAAATTTCAAATTACTCTTTTTACTATTTTCTGCCTTCCAGATTTACGTTCTCATTTCAATGTATGCGCTTCATACGTTGTCTATTGACTCTATCCATTTATAGAATAAGTCCCATCTTTCAGTTGCCTTTTGTAAAGGACAGTCCTTCATTACTTCTGATAAAATGTCCATTTCCGCTGTTTCCCGTATCTTCTCTATAAGATCTTCTTGTTTCGGTACCGTCGGACTTTTCCAGTTTTTGGCATAAGATGTAAGCATATTTCCTGATTTACAAAGGGGAATCCTGTGTCTGATGGGTTCTTGAAGTACTGTTCTGCATTTGAAGGGATCTTCTATTAGAAGGCCAGTCTAAGTTGAAATATAATGAACCTTGAGAATGGGGAGCAGTGTTCTTAAAAAGGCCATCAGCAATGCACCTGATAGTAGACAAAGCAGGCAATCAGTCTCCCAGCTGTGTGCAGTCTTCTGTATTAATGGCCAGATGTATTTCAGTTTCACAGGTTATCAGCAGGGTACACTGTGGGTTCAGGGTAAGGCCTACACAAGCAAGATGTTGCTTGCTCTCACTTTAAGGAGTCAGAAGATGCTGGCACTTTGCTGCAAGAGACCAAGATGACTGAACTTTTGCCACATATGCAAAAAATGTAGCCAGTTCACATATTTGTGAATAGATGTCTTGTGCTTATTAGCATCTACCTCTCCTTTCTCTTTCAGGGTACTTGAGCTTATTATATTTATATTATATCATATTTTCCTTAGTATCTGAGTTGTTCTGTCTGCTCTGTAAATTTAGAAGGTCACCTAGGATAGGACTTTTTTTTTTGACTAGGGCATGGTCTTCCCCTTCACACTGGCATTAGGCTGCTTAAAGCCAAACCCCCTGCCTTTCTAGAGAACTTTTGAGATTTCCTTTTACGGAGTCCTTTGCTTGAGTGTGTTTGCTAGATTTGTTTCTAGTTAGTTGCTTTTTACAATCTTACTACTGTCTATACAACTTACATTTAAAAATTTTAATTTATTAGCTAGCTTGGTGATCCTTTTAGTCAAGAGGCAGCCATGTAGTTGAAGAATGGTGAGAGGCAGGAAGGAGAGAGCCCTGGAGCTGGCCTGAAATGGTGAAGAATTGGGGCCTGGGAATGGGAGATGAAGAGAAGAGGGCTTCAGATTCCCAGTTCCTGCTCTCTCTAACTGAAAATCATTGATTTTGTAGGAAAACATGTTTACAGATACAGTACTGCACTGATCGACCTGGCTAGTTGACTTTTGCCTCCTTAAGTAAGAGCTACCTTTTTCTAATGAGCAGCCGATAGAGAAAGATGAATTGCCATTGCATGCGCAGAAGGGATTGAAGACAGAGACTGGTCCATTTCTGGAAATCCTCTGCTTTGTGAATTTTGTGGTGAGGTCAGCCCTGAGCCAAACCATTTGCAGAGCCTGGCTCTTGTGTTCAGGATAGGTGAGTTCTCAGGACCACCAGCTATAACCATGACCCTTAAGTGATCAGCGAGCTCCAAATGGGATGGCTGCAGAAGGCCTTGTGATCTGAAAGAAGGACTGGCCACTTGGGAACAGTTTTTGGAACTGAGTCTTTATGTGTCTTAAGTTGGTTGGCAGAGCACCGCTCACCGGGGGTGGTGGTGGCTTTTGGCTGGCCATGATAGAGGAGAAGGAGGGGGGTGGCAAGCAAGCCTTTGCCTACCCTATTTCGTTCCTTCGTTAACTGACTGGTAGGGGGAAGGGCAATCAGAGCAGCTGGGATGCCAAAGAGCCCACCAATTAATTGGGAAGCAGTTGCTGGTTTTTCTGGCCTGGCCTGGCCTGCAGAGGAGATTGGCTTTCCTGTCAATAAACAAGTCCCTAGTGCAGCATCAAAGCCGCAGTCCTTTATCAATCGTGGCCTCCTCTTCCCGCTTGTTCCTGTAACTTACCAAGCATTTATGACATTGATTTTACAATCAGGCTGTTAACCCTCCCGCCCCATCAGCTCTGCCAACCCTTTTGGTCCAACCTGTCAATCAGGCATCTCACAGCCAAATAGTGCATATATGCTGCCCTCTTGGTTTTCACTCATAGCCTGCCTCTTGTAGTTTCTTTCTTTTTTCCTTTCTTTTTGGTCACCTGCCCCAGGAAGTTTTCACTTGAACCTTTCATTCAAAGTTTATAAGGAGGCAGGAAATCCGGAAAAGCAACTCCTAAGCTTTCCAGTTCACCCAGTTAGAGGCAGAATTTGGGAGAGAAGATGAGAGAGAAGCAATATCGTGCCAAGAGGCACCAGAAAGAAAGTTGTAACTTTCAAACAGGGCACCAGCACAGTTTTAAGGAACCTGTTTGGCTTTCTGACATGAGAGGACAAAGTCTTCAGCAGCAACTGCTGGCTGCCGAGTAAGTCTGTGGAGAGACCTGGGAGCAGATGGACGAAGGGATCTGTCAACTTGGCTTCTTCAGTCATGGGGCTGTGCAGGGGTGTCATTGCATCCATTGGTGTCAGCTTTGAAGATGTTATAGTTCTTCTTTCTAGTCATGGAAACCTGCGTTATTGAGGGGAGCCGAGAGAGGCTGTAGATGACTGGGCAGTTTGCACAGGGGACTGGTGAGAATCCTTATTGCCAGGAGTATGGCCATGGAGGCTGTTATCACCCCAGAATCTATCAGCACCCTCGTTTCAGGCCAGTGGGACCTTACCCATTTATTTGGCTTCAAGCAGGCCTAAAAGGGAAGTAGGAAGTGGGTACTGACAGCCTGGTCAGCAGTGCCTCTTCCTTGGCTATCCTGTGGTGGATGTCTTTGCCTTGCTCTGCTCAGTCTCATCTTGAATCTTGTCCAGGCTCTGCTTCTGTGGCCTTGCTAGTTTAGCTACTATTTATTTATTTATTTATTTATTTATTTATTTATTTAGTTAGTTAGTTAGTTAGTTAGTTAGTATTTGCAGTTACACCTACCTTTTTCAGGGTGGTTTACACAGTTCCCCCCTTTTCACTTTTACCCCCTCAACAACCCTGTGAGATAGGTCAGGCTGAGTGACTGTGACCGGTCCAGAGTCACCCAATGAGCTTCAAGGCTAGTAGTTACTTGAACATGGTCTTCTCTCAACTCCCACCACCACTGCTTGCACTCTGGGTCCTCTTCCCCATCTCCAACCTGCAGTAGTAAGCTTGGCTGTTGCAGGCTGAAAAGTCTCTAAAGTCCATCCTGTTTTACTGTGGGAACTGTTGGGCTCTAGCAGATATCATGTGAAACTAGAATGTGCTCAGCATGTATTGAGATAATTGTTGGGCTTCCTTGGGAGACTGAGCTGCAGTGCTCCCCTGACAGATGCAACAGGTTTTTGTTGCCAGCTTGTATGAGAAAGCCATAAGCTTTGGAAGACTAAAGTGTTTTTTCTAGCTGAATGAGTGAAGTCCTTCCAAGAACCCCTCTCCAGATGCTTTTTCTGCCACACTGAGGGGTTTCCATGTTTTTATGAGCTTTTGCCCATCCATTCTTTCCTCTGTCCATATTATCCAGACTTTGCAGCGGACAGAAGCAGCTCCCTTGAGTGAGATGAGTGGGGTGCTTGTCATAACCACAGTGTATGGGACAGCGGTCTGTGCTTATTCTTGACTGACCTGCATCCCTTTCTCAATCTCTCTTAATCTCTCTCTCTCTCTCTCCTTTCTTTGTCTGCTTTCAGGTCCAATCCGTACTGGTTGCAATGAACACTCCATGCAGGCCTCGCCATGGAAGGCTGTGACTCATCTGTCATCCTGGGGAAGGACAATGGGCGTGCTCTCTCTCAGCACCAGCAATGGACTGAACTCAGTAGCACCCACCTCCCTAGCAAACCTGCTAACATGGAGCCGTCGGCAGTGGAGAACCATGGGGCCCTAGACAACCGGCGGGCTCCTTTCAGTGAGCACTCCCCAGAAAGTGCTGCCATCTCTGGCTGCAGTGCGGAACCAGCCAGCAAAGAGGTCTGCTGCAACGAATGCTCCACCTCCTTTGCCAGCTTACAGTCCTACATGGAGCACCACTGCCCCAGTGCCCGTCCACTCTTCCCCCTGCAGGAAGACTGTGGGAGTGACACTGGTGAGGAGGGAGACGAGGAAAGCGATGTGGAGAATCTGGCGGGGGAGATAGTCTACCAGCCAGATGGCTCAGCCTATATTGTTGAAAGCATTAGTCAGCTGATCCAGAGCGGAGGGGTCTGTGGGGCTGGCAACAGCACCAGCAGTGGGACGCTCCCCTCACTTTTCATGAACTCTCTTCCCAGCACTGGGGGCAAACCAGGCGAGGCCACTTCAGCTGCACCTGTCTATCCACAGATCATCAACACTTTCCACATAGCCTCATCCTTTGGGAAGTGGTTTGAGGGCTCAGACCAGGCCTTCCCAAATACCTCAGCCCTGACAGGGGTCAGCCCTGTCCTGCACAGCTTCCGTGTTTTTGATGTGCGCCACAAAAGCAACAAGGATTATCTGAACAGCGACGGTTCTGCCAAAAGTTCCTGTGTATCCAAAGATGTTCCCAACAATGTGGACCTGTCAAAATTTGATAGCTTTGTGCTCTACGGGAAGCGGAAACCCATCTTGATGTGTTTCTTGTGCAAACTCTCCTTTGGGTATGTCCGCTCGTTTGTGACCCACGCGGTGCATGATCATCGAATGACTCTGAGTGAGGAGGAGCGGAAAATTCTTAGCAATAAGAACATCTCCGCTATCATCCAAGGGATAGGCAAAGACAAGGAACCTCTTGTAAGCTTTTTGGAACCAAAAAACAAAAACTTTCCACGCCCCTTAGTTTCCACAGCTAACCTCATAGGCCCTGGACACAGTTTCTATGGCAAATTCAGTGGGATTCGGATGGAAGGGGAAGAGGGTGCCCAGGCTGGGGCTGCCAGTGGAGCGGAACAGCCACAATCAGGCCTCTTAGCACCTGGGGGCCTCTTGAACCTCGGAGGGCTAACGAGCTCAGCTTTGAAGACACCAATTACCTCAGTTCCCCTGGGCCCACTGACTTCCAGTCCTCCCGTATCCTCTGAGGGGAAGGATCCTGAGGGGGTTGTAGAGTGTGAGAAGCAAGAGCTGGCCAACCAGGACAGCCTGTCAGAGAAAGTAGTGCCAGCTGAGGATGGGGAGGAGGAGGAGGAGGAGGAGGAAGAGGAGGAGGAGTTAGAATGGGGAGGAGGGGAAGAGGAGGAGGAGGAAGAGGAGGAGGAGGAGGAAGAGGGGTGCAAAGGGCTGTTCCCCAGTGAGCTGGAGGACGAATTGGAGGAGAGGCCTCCTGAAGAATCTGGGGCTGTGGCAGGCAATGGTGGCAGCGGCGGCGGCAGCAGCAAAAAGGACCTTGCTCTCTCAAACCAAAGCATTTCTCCCTTAATGCCTAACGTGCTTCAGACTCTGTCCAGGGGCACGGCTTCTTCTAGTTCTAATTCTGCTTCTTCCTTTGTCTTTGATGGTGCAAACAGGAGGAATTGTTTAAGCTTTAACAGTGAAGGCAGTGAGGGCAGCAGGAGGCTGGACTTCAGCGATGAAAGTGCCAATAAAGACATTGCTACCATACCAGAACCAAATGAGAGTGTTGAGGGTGAGGATGGGATCTGTGTGTCCCATCACCAGCACGTAGGCCCCCTCTGTGAACTTGGGGGTGGGGAGTGCCCCTCGGGGAGTGGTGTGGAGTGCCCCAAGTGCGACACCATCCTTGGCTCCTCCCGGTCACTTGGGGGCCACATGACCATGATGCATTCGCGGAACTCGTGTAAGACACTCAAGTGCCCCAAGTGTAATTGGCACTATAAGTACCAGCAGACACTTGAGGCTCACATGAAGGAGAAACATCCAGAGCCGGGGGGCACCTGTGCCTACTGCAAGAGTGGGCAGCCTCACCCACGGCTCGCCCGGGGCGAAAGTTACACCTGTGGTTACAAGCCTTTTCGCTGTGAGGTTTGTAACTACTCCACTACTACCAAAGGCAACCTCAGTATTCATATGCAGTCTGACAAGCATCTCAACAACATGCAGAACCTGCAGAATGGAGGCGGGGAGCAAGTTTTCAGCCACACTGCTGGGGCTGCTGCAGCTGCGGCAGCTGCGGCAGCTGCAGCAGCAGCTAACATGGGTAGCAGCTGTGGGGCCCCCTCCCCTACCAAACCAAAAAGCAAACCTACCTGGCGATGTGAGGTGTGTGACTATGAGACCAACGTTGCCAGGAACCTGCGCATCCACATGACCAGTGAGAAGCATATGCATAACATGATGCTCCTTCAGCAGAACATGAGCCAAATGCAACACAGCCGCCACCTGGGCCTGAGCAGCCTGCCCGCCGAGGCTGAGCTGTACCAGTACTACTTGGCACAAAACATGGCCCTGCCCAACCTGAAGATGGACAGTGCGGCCTCAGACACCCAGTTCATGATGAGCAGCTTCCAGATGGATCCCACCAACGCCATCGCATCCATGGCCCCGTCTCTAGGTGAGATCACTTTTCTCTGCACTTTGGTTTCCTCCGTGGGGAGCTGGGTCTGGACGTTCAGCTGGGCGTTTGACGCTGGGAGGAGCCGGTTTTCATTTGAGTGCAAGGAACCATGTCCAGGCGCAGCCTTTCCTCTGGAAGCGTTTGTGGAGGCGTTCAAGAGCTTTCTCTTCCATAAGCACACATGTAGGGGAACTTCATGCAGTTTGTGAGGTTTAGGAACATCTCTAAGATGATGATGGGATAGAATGCAAGGGGCCTCTTCAGACAGACACAAGTTAGGGTATTGTATGTCTCTGAGCCTATTCAGGTATTATAAATATCGAGGCTGTGAATGAGCTAAAATTAGAGTGCTTAGCTCCTCCCACTCCGTTGTTACACTCTTCACATTTTCAGTACTGAGTCAGAATGGGAGAAGGGCTCCTGCTCGTATGCAGATATTACGCGCTATCAGGAACCTCTGCTTTTCAGACTTGCTAGCAGAACCAAGAAGAATGCATGGGTTGGGGTCGGGACACAGCTACGTCCTCTGCCACAAGCAAAGTCACATTTGTAACACTGAGCTTTCGTCAGAGTAGGAAAAACACCTTGTTGGGGCTGCACGTAGATATGTGTGTTTGATGCTAAAGATTACAAATTTACCCCTCTTTCGTATCTTTGGGTGAAGTTAGTTGTGGAAGCTCAGCCTTTCAGGCAGTGAAGAAACCTGCTCTTGATGGCTGCAAACATTCTTCTCTAGTGAGAACCTCTGGCAGATTTTCACCTGTTTTCAGTGTGCCTGGCTCACTAAAAGAGCTAGAAATGTATTGAGGAACTACATTGTTCCATGTGCCAATGGAATACTGTAGCCTCAGTGAACATTGTGAAATGACAGCTGAGGTAGATTATTGGTGCTGGCTGGAAGTCTGCAGTGGTAAGAGGTAATTTCTTTTCCTTTTGTTCAGGAGTTATCAAGAAAGAATCTGATATAAGCGTAACCTGATATTTATCAGTTTTAATGATTCGTGAAATCACTTGGTTGCCATATTGGCGGTAGCAGAATTTTTGCCAGAGCAACACAGTTGGAAAATATGAGAGTTGTGATTGTTAGGTCTGTAAAGACAACTACCCAATCAGTTTTGCATTTAAAATCCATAGTTCTAAGATGATGATATTATACTGGCGGTAGAATGTTGTATTTCTGCAGTCAGATTCCTAGAAGAACAGGTCTGGTATATTCAAGGCAGGAGAGCTCATTGTAGCACTACCTTTTTAAAAAATGTTTGAGATTGAGACGTTCTCTCAATAGTAGTTCGTTCATATTTGGTTCCAACTATTTAGTTTTACATTAGTGATATAGTCATTGTTTCCAACTACCATGTTTCCCCAAAAATAAGACAGGGTCTTATATTAATTTTTGTTCCAAAAAACGCATTAGGGCTTATTTTGGGGGGATGTTTTATTCTTTTTCATGTACAAGAATCTACATTTATTCAAATACAGCCATGTCATCTTCTTCTGGTTGTTGCACAATGGCGAAGGGCGGGCTTTCACTTAACTGGGGCTTGTTTTGGGGGTATGGCTTATATTACGAGCATCCTGAAAAATAATACTAGGGCTTACTTTCAGGTTAGTTTTTATTTTTGGGGAAACAGGGTATATAAATGTACTTAAGTGTGAAGCACTTCGGTAGGATCAACAGAAAACTTTTCCAATAATGAAGGAGCTTGCATAGAGCACTTCTCTTTGATTTCCTGGCCAGTTTATTAGCTATTGCATTGTTCATAGAAAAGTCAAATTTCTCTTTTGCTGAAATTTGGGAGTAGTGAATATCTATTTGCAGCTTCTAAGGAGACTGATGTTCTCTTGAAGGACACTAGCAGTGTACTCAAATACCATAGGAATGCCTGGAAGTTAACCTAAGCATGATCACTCTCATTAGCAAACCATGTTCCTTCTTTACTGTGGATGGGTCTGAGATTATGGAAAAGGCTAGCCTGAGATTGCAATCTTGATGGACTACTGGTTTGTCTGTGAGGAAGGTGTACAAGAATAGCTGTCTCTGGAAGAGTGTTGGTTAGTTGGATCACAGAGGGACTGAGATGGCATTGAGTTACTGGAGTTTCTTTTTATGTACCCAGTCTTTCTCATCCCAGTAAATGCATTCACAAGGAGAGCTCCTGTGTAAAATGTTGACTACAGGCGTGACCTGCTCTGAAAATATTGGTGGGGGAGGGATAGACAAATAAATAATGCATATGGTTTTTCTTCTACTGATCTAAACACTGGATACAAGAAGGGAGAGTTTTACTTTTGCATTTGATTGTGTTTGGAATTCTGAAATACCCTTCATTTTGCAGACATGCTTTTCAAAGAGCTGCTTTTGCAATGTATCTGTTCATTCAAAGCTTCTTATTCAGGAGAGCCTGTGAGAGGTAGAGTTTTTATTTGGCATCTTTTCAAATGTTGAAGAAAGGGAGGCAAACTCCCTTGTTCAATGGCAGAGCACAAAATTCAGCATTGCTGCTGTTTGGGCAGTGCTAATGAATGACAGCAGTTATTGTAGACGGGAAGGCTACAGAGACTTTGCAGAAGAAGAGCTGGTCTTTAAAGGACTACAAATGTCTAAAGAGTCTAGTAGGCAACCACTTTGGCCCATGGGAGAAAGAACAGAATGGGGTGTAGTTTAGGAGTGGAAAAATTCCTCTTGGCCACAGCGAAGATGTCATTTGCATGGGATCACCTGCAGTAGAAATGTCTGTCTATTTTTATGTAAGGCACTAGGATAGGTAATTACTTTATGGAAGACTTTGGTAAATGACATAGGTTGGTGTACATGATTTTTCTGTTGAATTCACTTTCAGTTGCTTCTGTTTTGACTTCTGACTCCCTTTTAATGCACCATAGAAGCCTCACATTATACCTGTAAGATAGGTTGTTTGTTTCTATTTTAAAGAGCTAGTTCTGGAATAGAGAGCAGTCCATGGTAGTGTAGGAATTTACACCTCAAGGTTAGGCCATTGTCCTCCTTTTGATTCTATGGATGGTTCGAATACTGCTGATCCTTTCTGGTTCACGTCCTGTCCCAAGAGTTGTGTAGGCTGAGGTGTCCAGATGTAGAACTGTGCTGCCTGCCTTGACCTGAAAAAGCACTGCTTGGACCCTTCTCCTGCCTTGACAAATTGGCTGCACTGATTCAGCTCAAACATCATGCCAGCTGTGCCCCAATCCACTGTTTAGAACTGGAACAGTACTTTATGAGTTGCTTGCTGAATGACGGGCAAATCATGACAAAGCCACCAATGTCTCCTCCTTAATTTCCCTCCTCCTGCTGTTCTACTGTACAGACCACAACTGTCCCAGAATGCAGTAGCTTCTGGTGACCAGTTAATGGCTACACTTTTGGTCTGATAATTCACATACAGTACAATATAAAGCCATAGTTAACCTTCCTTAAATATGGTCTGGCATGAAATCTGAATTGTACCAATGAACTCCTGGCTACAGCGACTTTTATTCATAGCTATGAGCCCCAAAGGGCAGGGGAATGGAGTGGTCCTTTGAGATGAAAAACGGTGAAAGTTCTTATGCTATTGAAAAGCAGCAGCAGCAGCAGCAGCAACAACAACAACAACAACAACCCTGTGTGTTCAGGTGTTTTAGGGGTAGGACCAGAGATGGCTGTTTTCTAACTGTTCTTTCCTACTTGAAGAATATGGCATTATTTTAATGTACAACTTAGCAGCACATTATGTAAGTTACATATAACTTAGCAAAGTGTTAGCTTGGCATATTAAATGAGAAAATATAAATGATTTGGGTTTTTTATATTTAGACAATAATTGCAAATATACACAAGGTCACAAATGAAACTGCAGACTGCTGAGCAGTAATGTACTCTAAATGGATCTTAAATTTTGCCAGGTGGGAAAATAGGAATAAAATATTGCTGAAAGTAGAAACCATTAATGTTGTAGTAAATAAAAAGGAAGTTTTATTAACTGAGCCTAGAAACAGTATGCAGAACTTTGTGTAATCATACAGCCATGTAAGAAACCATAGAACTAGGAGGATGAGCTCTGCAAATAATAATTCCTGTAATGTAATTGGGGAATAACAATAAATCTGGATGTGCTGTTAATTTTTATAATAACACTGAACCTGTGAGTTATCTCATCATCTTATGGCAAAACCATAACCCTATGTACACATGGGGGAGTTGAGGCCCGCTTGATATGGAGTGGATATGGATTCCCTCCTGAAGACTCAAAACATTGGATTACAGATGTCATTGCAGCTGTTGCCAGACTTGCTCTCTTGTACCCCTGTTTGTGAAATACGCCTCCCACTTGGTTGTGGGAGAAAAGATGGCATAACATGTGTACTGTAATAAGGAGGAATGATTAAAAGCTCCATTGCTTCCAGCGTCACAGTGTTCAGCAAATACAAGAAATGCATGTACTGGAACAAGAACCTGAAGACTCTTGTATGGCTTGTTCTGTGATTTCCCTCTATGTTGCTTTCAGACATTTTGTCAATTTATTTTTACTTGCTGTAGCAGATGGAGGAATCTAAGACAAGTAGGAAGTGATGGTATCAACTGTGTGATAGAAACTCTTGTCATGTTGTTTGAAAATATTCTTAGCAGCACTCTCAGATTAGACCAAATAACCAAAGTTGTTTTGTATTTCTGCAGTGTTTTAAAAGTCTTTTTCAACAATCTGGTAAGAATATTTCTTGTTTGGCAAACCTAGGAAACAGTAGCAATGCCTCTCATTCATGTTATTTTCTTAGATCAAAGAGACTTGCGCAGTACAGCCTGGGTGTTTTAAAACTGTTCATTTTAAAATACTACATTCCACTCATCTTTATGAAAGAGAAAATATTTTGTAAGAGCTTCTTTTCCGTTTTTCGCCCTACCCACAAGTCTCTTAACATCTTCATTTCAGGCCTAGGAATAAAAGGGAAATCTGAGGCTATGTGTCTGATCTCTGCCCACCGCCCACACATTATTTAGCCCAGGCCTTCACATCTGGATTTCCCTGGGAGTTCCCTTGGCCCAGGACAATTCTGGGTGCCTTGCTGGTCCTGGTGTGTGACTGAGAGGCTGGCCTCCACCTGGCATTGTTTCTGCAGAGTTTTTCTGACAGCTTTTCTCCTTTCTCTGTGCAGTGGGTGGAGAGATCCCTCTGGATATGCGGCTTGGGGGTGGGCAGCTGGTGTCTGAGGAACTAATGAACCTTGGGGAGACCTTCACACAGACCAACGACCCCTCGCTGAAGCTGTTCCAATGTGCCGTGTGCAACAAGTTCACCACAGACAATTTGGACCTGCTGGGCCTGCACATGAATGCAGAACGCAGCCTGCCTGAGGAAGAATGGAAGGCTGTGATGGGGGACTCTTACCAGTGCAAGCTGTGCCGCTACAATACGCAGCTGAAGGCCAATTTCCAGCTCCACTGTAAGACTGACAAGCATGTGCAGAAGTACCAGCTGGTAGCACACATCAAGGAGGGGGGCAAAGCCAACGAGTGGAGACTCAAGTGTGTCGCCATTGGGAACCCTGTGCATTTAAAATGCAATGCCTGTGACTATTATACCAACAGCCTGGAGAAGCTGCGTCTCCACACAGTGAACTCCAGGCATGAGGCCAGCCTGAAACTCTACAAGGTAAGGAAGGCCAATTTTCTTGCATGGTGGGTTTTGTGTGTGTGTGTGTGTGTGTTTTGGTTTTTTGGGGTTTGGTGGGAAACAAGCCACCAACATCTTTTTGCTTCAAACATTCCATCAGCTTCATGTTTCTATAACTTCACGCTTAGGAGTCGCTTCTCCTAAGGCAGTTCTGAGTTCTGATGCTGGGATGAGACAATTAAGACGATCCAGAGAACTGCCATCCTGCTACTCATTGTGGCCCAGGTCCTGCCTTTTGCTGTATATTGGGAAGGGGGTGGAAGTGGCTGTAGTCATTTTGTTCCCTGAGGGGGAGCACATGCTTTCATATATAATAGCATCAGTCCCATAAGAAAGGCAGTGCTTTAAATAAGGAATGGTTGTTAGGAGAAACCGGCTGGCTCAGCTGAGTGGGTATAAGGATGGACACTTTTTGCGGTATGACATCGCTTCTTTATGTTTGTATCCATAATGTGAGATTTCCCAGAGCAGCGCCATACACAGGATTTCCCCCCCTGAAGCTGTAGACTTACTGATCTGTGTTGTTTGCTGCAGGATGCCCTAGTCTTCTACCTCTACAAAGGCATCAAGTAAAAGTGGTGGAAGACACAACTTGGTGCATATTGTTTACTAAAAGGCTTTTTGTCAGAGTCCCTTTCCAAAGTTCCTGAATAGTCTTAGCAGCTGTGGTAGAAGAGGAGAAATCCTCTCATAGATTGGAAACTAGGAAAAGAATAGGAAGGAAAGAGTTAGTTCTTGCATTGGAGAAATGTAAGCTGTGGGTACATCAGTGCTCTATGGTGAGACTAGTGCTTTTTGTCTATAATTGAAGCAGAATTAAGGGTAATCCGAGAAATTGGCTAAGTTTGCTGATGATACCAAATTGTTTTTGGGTGGTGAGAGTAGATTGCAAAGAATTCCGAAAGTATCCCTTCAAACTGGGCAGGATCGCGCACCAAAATGGCAAAAATAAGCTTCACTATAAACAAGTGTAAAGTGATGCACATTAGGGCCAAAAATCCTAGTGTCACAATTAAACTGATGGAATGTGAGCTTATAGTGACTGATCAAGAGGATTTTGTTGGTTAGCAGAATGAAAGTGTGCAACTGTTGTTAAAAGAAAAAAACCCACTTCACTATAAGCATAAGTAAACAAAGTTCAAAAATAGAAAATTTCTATCATAATTTGGTTTTACAAAACTATGGTGTGACCTTATCTGGAACCCTGCATACAGTTTTGGTCACTGCAATTGGGAACTGTAGAAGTTGCTAAAAGGGGGCAATTGAAATGAACAAGAGGCTGGAGGGACCCCCTTTCATAATGGCTCCCTCAGTTGGGACTCCAAATTTTCTTGAACTACAACTCCCAGAAAAGCCCTTTTTGGCTGCAGTGGCTGAGGCTTTTGGGGAGTTGTAGTCTAAAAGATCTGGGGCCTCAAGTTTGGGGACCGACCTTTCTCCTATGAATAAAGGTGTAATATTTAGGACTATTTAGCTTAAAACAACAACAGTGAGTGAGACTCTGAAATGACCAGAGTGACCATTTGTCAGATGGGCAGTATAAAGATCAAATAAATAACATAAAATTGATAGATCATATAAAATCATGGTATGGAAAAATTGGAGAAGGGAAATCTTTTTTCCCTCCTCTACATGCTAGAACTGATTAGGTCACCCACTAAAGCAGACTGCTGGAAGATTCCAGTCAAATCACAGGGAGCATCTTCTTGTACAGGGTGTAAGTAAATTTCAGAATTCTCTGCTACAAGATGGATGGGTCTACAAGGTTACTGGACAATTTAGAGAGGATGGTGCTCTCAGTGGCTGATGATCATGAAGGATACATATCCCTTCCAGTACCAAAGGCACTGGATCTCTGTGTATCAGTTGCTGAGGGGAGGGGGAGCAAAGAGAGGCTGTTCCTAGTGATGACGGCAGAGGCAGCTGTAGTCCTTCCTGTGGCTATCTATTGGCATCTGGTTGGCTCCTATGTGAACATACAGAACTAGTTACATTTTTAGTCTGATTTACACTCAGTGCTCCTCTTGGATTCAAGATGGGGCTCCTAAGTACAGAGGTGTTCAGGAATTGCACCCATGCTTCATACTTGGTGTTTTTGCAGCAGGAGACAGCAGTGTTAATTCTGATGAACCTGCAGCAAAGGGGATGGGAAGGTGTTGCAATGGTATGGCATTTTGGCTGTCTGCCTTGGGGCCCTCCTAGCAAGTGGATGAGTCTCCTGCTCTTGCAAACCATCACTGATTCTGTGTTTCCTCCGTTGCTGCTTCTGGTTGCAAATTTATGCTCTCCTCCCACTCTCTACTTGTGTCCACGTAGGCTGAAAATGAGAAGCTCTGCATACAGTAAATAGTCCTTTCACTTGCACGGCAGAATTGCTCCAGACATTTCTATTGATTTTCCCTGGACTTAAAGCTTCACCTTTTTCTCTAATCATCCCATAATGGCTTTAGTATGAACAATCAGGTACAAATTGCCATAAATCTAAGCAGCTTCACTTCATGTACCTTCCACTCACTTACACATGCTGTCTGTCTTGCTTTCATCCTCTGTTTTCTTCAATTTTTCATTCTGCGTATTTGTCTCCCTCTTTTTTTCTCTCTGTACCTTGAAGGGAGTTGTCCTCCTGATACTGGCTGCAAATATTGGTGCTGAATTTTGCTCCTTTCCCCCAACCTTCCTTAGCTATTTCAGTGGTGCTGTCTTGAGTCAGGTACTAAACTGCCGATGTTTCAAGACAGGAAAAACCACCCATTGTCAACAGTCTAACCCAGCACAGCGTGGTTGCTGGGGTGATGAGATCCTGAGCTTGTCCAAATAGTTCTTGCCAAGTAGTAAAGCAGGCACATGCTGGTCTAGTTCTGAGAATGGTACTCTAGCTACTTGTATTTATGTATGGATTTATTTAAACATTTATAGCCTGCCCTGTATCATAGGACCTCAGGGTGAGTTACAAAACCATGTAAAACAATTTTAAAATATAAGATACTTCAAATAATTTCAAATCAAATAAAAAAGAATTAAGACACTTCCACTGTAAAAACATTTAAAACTTACCACTACATGTTGTGGGTTTTTCGGGCTCTTTGGCCATGTTCTGAAGGTTGTTCTTCCTAATGTTTTGCCAGTCTCTGTGGCCATGGGCATCTTCNATTAACCTCGCTATGCGGGGCACCACTGTACCTGTCTAGCTCCATATACATTTTTTTAGAAGCACTCTGTGCTTCTATAGAGCACAGAGTGCTGCCCTCTGAAGATGCCGGCCACAGAGACTGGCGAAATGTTAGGAAGAACAACCTTCAGAACACGGCCAGAGAGCCCAAAAAACCCACGACAACCATTAGATTCCAGCTGTGAGAGCCTTCGTGAATACATCGTACCACTACAAACTGTGCAGGTCATAGTCCTCAACTACCAAAGAAGGAAGATATCCCAGCCGTGAGAGCCTTCGCGAATACATCGTACCACTACAAAAACTGTGCAGGTCACAGTCCTCAACTACCAAAGAAGGAAGACCTGGAAGGTTTTGTGGTCCAGAGGTAGATGAGAATGTGGAAGTTTACAAGGCAGATTCTGTTGATATGTGAGTTTTGTGTGAATAGGCTGGTTAAATGGGGTTAGAATTGCAACAAGCGCTAAATGGTCTCCCTCTAGAATGGGTATTTTATTTATTTTATTTTATGCATTATATTTATATTCCTGTCCATTTAGTGCTGTGGTACTACTCTGGGAACTAACAATATTTTTTAAAAACCCCAGCTACCCATCCTCACTCACAAGGCATAAATAGTGAGATCCAAAAGAACATTAAACTCTGAATATCTAAAGAAAAAGAAACCTGGACGGCCAATCAAAACAATAACCACTTCATGGAACCACAAGGATGTCACAGGGGTAAGATGTTTCCAAAGGCCTCTTCAAACAATAACGTTTTCACCCATTTTGTGAAGGCTAGAAGGGAGGGAGCCTGGCATATATTTGCAAGAAGCTTATTCCATAACGTTGTAGCCACCACCAAGAAGGCCAAGTTCCGGGTGGTAGTTTTCCAGGCCTCTCTAGGAAATGTGAGACCTGACTGGATTGGGTGTCAAGGATGGACAATCATAGGGAGAGACGCTCTGTCAGGTAATGGGGTCCTAAACCATTAAGGGCTTTATAGGTAGGAAAAAGGGAGAGACAGTGCGGCAGTCTGGTGGATCTCATTGCCGAAGCAGTAAGCTACCCCTGCTGGAGGTAGGGAGACAGCTGATGTGCTGTTTATCCCTTGCCCATTACGTGTGCTTTTGTGTATAAAACGCCCTCGATGAGGCCTCCAAAGATCTTCCCACTAAGTATATTTACTCATAAGATGTGCAAGAAATCCAAATGTTGTTTAAGTGGTCACCAAAATATTTGGATAGTCGGCCTAGTCTCTTTTGACCTGGCTGCAGTGTTGGGCAGTGTCTCAGCTGGATAAGGGGCATTGGTTCGTAGAGAGAGCCTCCTGGTACAGAAGTGTAGGAAGGGTTGAAATGGAAGATCAGATTTGTGCATGCTGGCTCTTGACCCAGTCTTTAATTCTGCTTTCTCTTCTCTGCCTTGGTGCCTGCGAGCCTGGGGAGCCATCCCAAAGCCAGCTTACTTCTTTCAGGACCTTGTGCGGGTATATTGGTGAGATGTTATTTTTCCTCTTGCTAATGTAATCCATTAGCCTGGCACATGCATAATCAGTTTAGAGTGCAGTTAACTGGATGTAATCGAGTTCTTGCCTCTCTGCTGGAGAAAATCCTCTCCAGATGCTGCCTGGGTGAGAGAGCAGGAGGCTTATTATGCCTGCAATCCTCCTTACTCTGCCTTTTTGCCATTTTCATTTCAAGTTGTTACTTCTTGGCTTCCATGTCTTGTGCAAGTAGTGTCAGGTGCCAGAAATGTGGATGGGAGGCTGTCAAACAGTAATTCAGAAAACCTTGAAATCTACCTGCTCATGCAGGTTGACTGGTGGG